ACTGGTTTTAATTTTGGTAGTTGGATCCTAAAAAAGGAAGCATGGCACATGGCCTCTTAAAAAGTTGCAAAACCCACTCTCAATAAAATTTAATATGTCCTGCCTTGGCTTTTCTTTAATGTGCACTGTGTGGAGCGCAGCAGTGTAACATTTTTAGCATCAATCATTTCAGCACACTCCTGAGTAATGTGACTACCTCACACCTTTGCAGATAGGACGTTTATTCAACAGTACCACTTATTTTCTCTGCACTATGTGCACATGTGTGTACACACAAACACATGTATCACTGGCAGCCTCTCCTTGTTCTTGGACGTTACTGTCCAGTGCAGGAGTTACTAAGTGCACGTAGATCAAGAGAACTTGACACAAACTCACTCTAACATACCAGACTGTCATCTCAGCAAAATAGGAGCTCTGATAAGAACATGCCTCTGTGTACTCTGGGTGTGTGCTGCTCTGTGTCTGGGTGTATGTCTAGGTAAATTTCCTATCCACTAATTCCTGATGGAACAAGGGTGGCCAAATCTTCTGCTGCAGTGAATTGATGGAGTCCTGTGTAATTTGACAGAGCTGTAACAGGTTACACTAGCTGAATGGTTGGCTCAGATGCTCTGGAAAGCTACTCCAGGAAAGAATTCTGCTGGCGCATCTATTATGTGAAAGTACCGCTGCTATAAAGTGTAATATTTATTGCATATTTTGTGTCACTGGTGCAGTCAGGAGAGTACAGTATACAATGAGGAGGAGCAGGACCATGTAGTTCACCAAGGCCAGTCCCTCCGAGATCACATTAATAGATGTTCTACCCAGAATGGCCCCTGGACATTTTATCAGTAATACACACATGAACACGCGTGCGCGCGCACACACACACACACTAAAGCACAGACCATAAAACACTCCTAACAACCTGAGAACAAACTAAAACTGTTAGGATACAATACTAAAATAGATAAAAACTGGAGTGTACCACAGGAAGCGTGAGAGATCAAAGTGTCACCAGTATCCTAGGTTCCAGAAGTAACAGGGAATTTGCTCCCATCCCCTAAAAAAGCATCCATTCAGGTACCATACATCCTGGACACCACCTGGAGCTTTGGTTTCGTGAAGTTACAACGTGCACAACAAGAGAGTGCACCCATCATGGATGATTATTTATTCAAGTAGATACTGATCACTAAGATTGTAGCTAACAACACAAACGTCCTTGAACAGCAAGCCCACCTTTCTACAGGGTGGGTTAAATACGACGACTGTACAGAAGAGGACTTCAAGAAGAAGCCCTTGTTAGTCAGCATGTCCCCTGTTAGTCTTGTTAGTCAGAATGTCACTGCAAAACTATATAAAGAAGCTCATATTCCCCCATAGGTAAGGTTATAAAGCAGCAGGGTGAGAAATACTACTGATTTAAAGCAAGCATCCCCACTTTCCTAAAGGTAGTTTTCCTCTAGGGAAAGTTTCTCATAAAACACAAAGTTCCATAACATTTGGGTTTTTATTAGAGACAGTCAGATCGGTACAGCTTTGAATCTCCCATATGAGATATTCACTAAGCTTTTCAAAGGAACAGGTGGATTTGAAAGCAGAATTAGACACTTCACCTTTAATCATCCAGAGTTATCACCTAAGACTGATTTTCAAACAATTGGATGTGAATTGGCCACAGGACATGGTTAAAAGGAAGTTCATAGAAAATAAAGCACATGAAATCGAGAGCCAAAATACATATGGCCTAATTTAAAAACAGGATTAAAGGAAATTCACAAAGCCATTTTGTTGCCAGATTTAATTAGTATGTTTAATATGTGAGATCACCTGAATCTACTTTTACTTGTTTTGTGTCCCATTAGGAGTTTCACAGGAGCAGTAATGTGATTGAATGGCCCTTGTGAGGGATGAAGCTTAGGCTGCTTTGAACAAATTGAATTAATTTGAAATGATTCTTTCCAGGTATGACATTCTTGGAAACAGATGTGGGGATAAGGAGGGAGGGAATCAGAAGTACAGATAGATAGACCTATAACCATACCCACTTTTTTGTATATACATTGTCACCTTTTAAAATATTTGCAGAAATATTGTAACACTAGAAAGCCTATTCACATAAGATTACAACTGATGGTACCCTCTAGAATTAGGTTAGCATTTGAGATACTACAGTGGCAAGGATCCTCATGCAAGTTTTCCATCTCTACCAGTTCCCTAAGATGTGAAAGCCATGGGGCATGGGTCCTGGAGCTTCTTTTGCAAGGTGTTAAGAGGGTAAATTTGCACCCCAAGGCTTTGCAGTGAGTGAAAAGGACCATATTCCAGGTCACTGGCTGAGTTAGAGCCATGGTGGAGGAAAGGGGGCCTTATTTTGAGTGATATTCACAGCCTTTCCACTTGATTACACTATCGTTGATTGATTCTACATGGAAGTCACACAGGGGTTTACATGTAGCACTGTAACCTCCCAAACTGGATAGAGAGAGAAGATTTTCTACTGTTTCCCAAACAAATGGTATCATAAATGGTTTAAATAGCACAATTTCATAGCTAAAATACAATATGACAGCAGAAGAGATGGAGGCAAGGGCAATAAGGATTTTATCAGGGGGAGAAAAAGTTCCCAGACTGATTTCTGGAGACTCAGAATATTTAAAACTTGCACCCAACTCTGCAAGCTACAAGTACTTAGCTTGCCTGAAAACAAGCCCATGAATATGCATTCTCATTTTAACCTACAAAAATATTTCAAAATCCAGGCCCTGATCTGGCAAGATGCTGAATGTTTTCCCTTTTCATCAGACAAGCCTCTAAAGAGATACTGAAGTGTACGTACTGTAGGAGCCGGAGCGCAGCCACAAAGACTAATTTACTGAGCCAAAAAGCAGTCATTGCTGCAACTGCCATGCAGACATACCCACTGCCTTCAGCAGAACTTCAGTGAAGACTGAGGGCACTTGTCACTTCACAGGGGGCACTCAGTGTCTCCCAGGCTCACGTTGGGTCTACATATGGATGAACCGAATATTTTTCGCTACAAACACTCTTCCCCTTCCAGGCCTCCTTCGCTTTCAGTTCTGAAGGGTGAATTCATTGAAAACATCTGCACTACTAGAAACATTCTGTGCTTTTTCCAAACCTCATCCCTGTGGTGGCTGTGTAGTAACAGAGAATAGACAGAGCTGCATAACATGAGCCTGCAAGCAAGAAACTGCAGTAGAGAGAGGATGCCGAATGCTGGAGCTTTGCATCCTCCACCTAGGTGCTACCTAGGCTCTGCTTACCTTCTCCGCTGTACTCTGCTCTCGGCCGCATCGCCAAAGGGTTTCCACAGCAACTGCCACATCACACCGCATCGCTCAGACCTCGGCAATACAGAACACCTCTTAAATGAATTTCGCTCAGCGGTCTGTCATGTTAACTTCTGCACACCTACGAGTTGCAACACGCTCCCCTTGGCATCAAGGCCAGTTCTAGAATTGTTTTCAGGGAATCTTGCATAATATGTATTTCTCCTTCTTTTGTCCTTTTCCCCCCTTTTCTTTCCACATGGCAGGCTTGCAGCAGTAAGGACCAGGCTCTGTAACCGTGTCACAACAGCATGGTAGAGGCACAAATGGGACTGATCCTGTGTCATTCACAAGCAGTGGCAATGTACCTGGGCAAAGACTGCAAGAGCATGTTTATGGCAGTAAACTTTAATGAGCCACATGAATTCTTCAAACAAGGGAAGGGAAAAGATTTATTTTTGTTTGGGGAATAAGGGATGTCGACCAGCCTCCAGCAGGCCTACCAGGAAGGCGTGTGTAAGGGCTTGCGTGACCATCTGTTTCTCCTCCTTATCAGTGCTCCTGTGCCAGCTGCCTCTGCGGCTGAGCCGTCCCACGTGCGGGCTCCCCTGCCCGGTCCTGCGCTGCCGTCTGTCTGCTCCTCGCTAATCCCACATAACAGTATGTGCCTGCTTCCCACCGACCCAGTTTGGCCACACCCCACCTTAAACCCCATATAAATCACGGGAGGGGAAGCTGGCCGTCTCCTTGATGGTACCAGTTAGCTGGGCTGCTCCCTTCCCTTGAGTGGCTTCTGAGGGACACGAGCTGATGCTGCACTTGCCTTGCATCACCTATCCCGGCGGTTCTCTGGCGTGCAGAACCTCCATTTCCTGAAACGCCATAAAAATGCGGTCCAAGCCCGAACAACTACGGGATTTATGTTTGCTGATGTAGCACCCTCATCCCAGCGCTGCCATGCCCAATCTGCAATCAAAGCTGCAAAAGCAGCCCAGAAGTCGATACCCTGGATAGACAGGCAAGATACAAACCTAATACCAGATAGACAGGCTGATAGGCGAGTTAAAGCTGCAGCCACCTGGGAGACACACACGGTGATGCAATCCAGCAGTGGCAGTTGCCAAAGTCGTTCTGACGGCGGAGGCCAAAGGCGGGCAGGGCGCCTGCAGGGGCGCCGGGGAGGGGAGCGGGCTCCACGGCCTCCATCTGCAGAGAGGTGTGAAAACAGGCAGAGCCTCGGCCAAACTCCCTTTGGGGTGTCTCGCAGCGCTGGCAGCGTAGCTCTCTGCTAAGCCTTGTGCTCAGAGACCATAAACAACCAGGATTGAAAAAATATGTATAACCTGGCTAAAGGACAGCAAGCTGCTGGGGGGATGGAAGGGGGGGGGCGGGAGACTGCAGTGGGCTGTGGGTACCTGAAGGATGCTGACCCCGACAAGGGTGTGGAGACTTAGTAAGAGAGCAAGAAATCAGCTAGGATGCAAAGTTTTGCATTACTGTTCCCTGAATGAATTACTGGATGAAATTAAGAGAAGAACAATGAAACCCAGCCAGGCAGGACAGGCTGGAAGACACACTGGTGCTGCTTCTCCTTCTCATTCCAGCACCTCCATAAGGAGGGTAACAGGGAGGAAGGTTTGGGGGTTGCTCCTATGGCTCACCTAAGAAGCAGCAGCCAGACCCTGGCTTTCTCAGGGCACTTGCAAAGGTGGAGAGGATCCATCTGTATCATTATAACGTCTTTGAGCCCAGGAGGCACAGCCGCAGACCAAGCATGGACACAATTCAGAACAAAATGATGCTGCTGCTCCCTGAAGAATTTACCATCGATCTAAGGGTAAGAAGTAACAGCAATTGGATGTAGCTTCTCCGCCAGGGATTTAGAAGTTTACAGTGAGTTGCTACAGCACTTTCACTAGCTTTTTAGCCTCCTCTTTAGCTATACTGCTTTACAGACAACAAATTAGTCTGTACAAAAACCAATACTGAATGCAATTTTCACTTTAACCTACATGTTGAACTTCAATGTCTTCAGTGAACCCAGGGTTAGAGATGGATTGATGCACTTTTCAGGATGGGTTTACAAACTCAAATCTGGCCCAGATTACTCAGACTAAAATCCATAATAATAACAACTTCATAATTTAACTGTTTGCCTGCCAAATGCAGTACACAAAGACTATTTCCTACTAGTTCCCTCATACTGTTATCACCACAGCAGGCTGCAGCTTTGTGACTGATCTTCATAGCAAGACTAAGGACTGAGCTGGACTGATGACTGAATTGCAGGACCGTGCTAGAAGCACTTGCTTTTTGTCCAATGTTGAAGGATCTGGCAAGGCAACATGGCAAAAGTCTCTCCATTATCACCAACACTGGCTTCCAGAACAGAGAGCTTCTCTTTCCTGGGGTGTCAACTGAACTATTACAAACCTTTGACTACCTCCTGGAGAAGACTCCGTAACTGACTTCTCCATTATTACAAAACAAGCTGTGATCTCAACCGCTTTGTGCTAGGCACTGCACAAAGTTTTTTGAGGCATTTTTGGTGAAGGGAACCTGGAAACAAAAAAAAAATATTTAGGAAGAAATGAAATGGAGAGGGGAGGGGAGAAGGAGAGATGTTCTATCACTGTATCAGACCTAAATTACTATTGAAGGATACATTCTCACCTAAAGAAGTGCTTACAAAGCCTGCTAGAGCTCCTGATGATTTTACTGGGATGCACTATAAGTATGAATTATTTGAAGCAGACAGGCAAAAACTTCCTGACCACACACCCTGCACAATGTACAAGTGTGGATTTGAGTGAGATATGAATTCAGGATGGATCCAGTCCCAAAAGGGTCAATCCCATGTCATACAGTACAAAGCATAAATTTGAGATTAAAGAGAACTGAAAATAAATCCTTGTTCTGATTTAGTAATTTTCCTTTACAGAGATGCAAAGCACAAATATTTATAAACAATATTCTTACAGGACTTGGAGGGTATTCTTGCCTTTCAAATAATTACTATTTAAAGTAATTCTGACCGCACTTAAAATGAGATGCAGCATATAAGCATGCAGAGCTTTGTTGAAGAAAATAAATACTATTAAAAATAAAATTAGTGTTGGAAAACCTCAGGCAATAATCCCAACCAATCAGCCTGGCAGGCCTGAAGGCAGACATGCAAGAAAGGCTCAGATAATGCAGTGATGCAAGATTCAAAAGAATCTGCTTGCTTGGGTAAGATAGAAGATCACTATTTAACACCACCAAGACAATACCTCCAGGCTCTTTTGTTTAAGTACAGAGCTAACCTGGCTCTGTTTAGCTCACAAAGTCTGTTGCGACCAGATGATGATGAAGTCAGAGACAAGATAACTGGAGATTAACCTTTACAGATATTTCTGTTCCTGAAATTACTTCCCTTTCTATGCTCTGCTACTGGCTCTGACTCAGAAGTTTCTTATTCCCTCTAAATAAAGTTGAAAACAATTCACCCAGCTGAGAATTGGGCCCTGAATTTTTGTTGTCCTTGAATTGGTCTGTTAGAAGCCGGTAAAATTAATGGTGCTCATAAAGCCTCCAAAAAGTCAGTGAGAGGTGCACAGAGCACCCTGTGACTTGGTATTAAAAGGATGAAATTCCAGTCCCAGTTTCTCAGCCTCCTTAACTTCTGAGATACAGGAGGCATCATACATGTGCAAAACGCAAATAAGGAAGGGGATGTGTGTGATGGACTGGAGGGGGTAGGTAGTACAGCAGTGGAAGAGGTGCTTTAAGTGCAAGAAAGCAATGCAGCTCCAAACCCACTGAAATATCGGTGCTTTCTGCACGGTTCTATGGTGAGTGTTACTCTGAAGAGGTGAGGAATGCAAGGCAGGGGGTCTGTGGTCTATGGTTTGTTTTTCCATCAATACATATGTCTGACTTCAAGTAAAAGATTAACGAGACAGCTAGCAAATGTCCTAGGAGACAAATGGATAAAATGCTGTTTGTACATGTCAGATGAGGGAGGGCTCATTCTCATCTCTCAGTCTGAATGAATCTGCTAGGATGCACACCTGCACCAGGAAGATTTCCTTGACAAGGTAACCCTTGCCACTGCAGAACACATGAGCACATCAGCATACAGCTTACCTGACACGTACATTCTTTCGGTCAATGTGGTTTGGAAAGAACCTTCCACCTACTTTTTTTCTGCATGTGACGTACATTGCTGCATGTTACAGAAAAGCCCCAGGTAAAGTAAATGGAAACTCTAACCAGCAGCTATGCACCTGGTGTTTTTGCATTTCCCAACAGATATTACAGTTGCTGGAATGATGTGTGAATCTTCTACAAAACCTCCTATTGACAATTTAGTTTAGGTGTGGCATGAGAGAGATCTGTGCTATTGATACTAATGACCCACAGCCTGTTGCTAAAGAGAAAGAAGAAAGGAACTGAGGGAGTTTATAATTTAAAAAAACAAAAACAAAAAACAAAACAAAAAAAAAAAACAACACAAACAAAAACATAAAACCCCACAAATATTTACATTCTATTACATTTTACAGCACCCAGTCTGTTACAGGCCAAAAAGACTGCAGACAGGGGTGCTGACGCTTTCATTTTCCAGGGATAGGCATGGCAGTGGACACAACAGCTAGACTGTCACTAAAGCTCAGCCTTCCTATGTATCAAAAACTCAGTTGCATTTTCCTCTCCTGTTGGCAATCGGTGCTGCTGGTGATCCCTCAAAGCTGATGGCGTAATGCCGTTGGCCTGAGTCCTGCTGCAAGGAATGCAGTGGCGCCCAGTCAACCACCAGCACTAACCACAATCTCCCTGCAGATCGTATAACCTGGCAGCTCAGCTCTGTGTAGTAACATCACAAAAAATGGGAACACCTTTTCCTTTCCTGACTGCCCTCCTCCTTTTTTAAATTTCTTTCTGGAAAAATCTGAGGGAGTTAAGCAGATTCCCCAGGGAGAAAAGTGACCCATCACTTACAACACTGTCATAAACTTCAACATCTCTGATGTTTTGATTTCTGCTTTACCTGAAACTTGTGAAGTGTGAGCCACATCCATTTTCCTTATGCCATGATGGGGAGGAATGCTGGTATGTGGGAACTGACAAAGAAGCATGAGGGAACCAATGTTCACCCCTTCATCCCGATGAAATCTGCTGGTGAATCACAGGGTAAGAACTTGACCTCACCCATGAAGTTGCATGAAGATTAAAAGAACTTCCTTGTGTCTCTTTGCCATGCTTCTGACTACCAGATTTACTGGCTAGAGACGAGCAGTTAAATCACCCCACTAAGCTCAGGGAGAATGAGTTCAAGTCTTGTCAAGGGCCACCCTTGACAACTCATCTCTAAAAACAGAACCTATTCCTTTTGGTGAGTCAAGAGCAATCAGTCCTGCTATTGGACATATCAAACAGATGTAGTTGGCTGAGGAAAGGGACCTGCTCAACCATGCTGGACCCTTTCATATTAGTGACATCGGATATATTTTTGTGAGAAAAGTCTGGAGGCCTGAAGAGAAGGCGATGTTGCAGGAAGTTAGCCCACAAGTAATGTTTCTATCTCACTAAGTCTGCCAGCACACAAGAGAGCATGGGATAAGCTTGCCCAAAAATGACTGGAAAAAATTAGAAAATTCTAAGGCCATCTACAGCCACCTCTGTAAAGCAGGAAAAGGGAACACCATGAAATGAATGTGATTTCTTACAAACTGAACAGCCTTCTGTATGCAAGGCTCTTTATCACCTAGGGATTAAAATGGCCCTAATACTTTAGCTCTCCTTCCACTCCTGAGTGCAGCTCTTGAACTCTTGGGGATTTGGCCTGTAGTCACTGCCAGGGTGCCGTGTCCCTCCTCCCCGAGAGTGCTGCCAGAATGGAGGAAATAAGACACATGCTGGCCCATCCTGTACTGTACTCTTACTTCTATTTTTTTCCTTCTTTGCAGCTGCAAAATACAACTGAGCAAGTTAAATTCCACTTCCCTTGAACACGGAAGCAAGCAGTGCATTTTGTCACATGGTCACATCAGCAGACTGCAACAACAAGCGCAGTCACCTGGTGAAACAATCCACTCAGAAATTTGGAAGGAAAATTTCCTTAGGGCAGGTGACACTGGACATCTGGCAGCCCTCTACTTTTGTTCTGAGAATAACACCTACGTTGTAGGGCATGTTGCCAGAAGCTGCACCCATCTGGGATGTAGCCAGCCCAAGATGAAAGGGAACACCAAATCCAGAAGGGGTGATTAGCTTTTACTGATGTTCAGGACAGAGGTACCAGGGAACTAAGTTCCCCTTAGGTGTTCAGTATTGCTTGGTGAAGTCAGGGAACTAAGTTAATCAGGTCAGAGCCAGGCTTGCATATGCTTTCTCCACAGGGATTACAAACTACTTGCCAAATATTCAGATTGGGTAATTGCTACCTGGATTACCAAGGGTATGCAGCCCAAAAGATGATAATTGTTTAGAGTTTCTGATAGATTGCATCACTCCCTGCCAAAGTATACAGCAGAATGAGAATCATCAACACATGATGTAAGGATACAAGCCTGTGTGTACTTTAGACAGTAGAGCTGAACCCATTGTGGCTGGCTGAAGCAGAAGAAACATTAACCCCCACACTCTGTTCACAGGGAAGCAATAATTTGATTCTGAACTCCAGAAGCATTTGTGGAAGCCAGAGATTCACTGAAATAACCTTTCTTTTCTTAGGACACTGGGGATAAGCATTCATCCCTGCTCTAAAATGTAAATTTGACCAAAGCTAATTTTACCCCAGCGTCTAGCTATGAGATCATTGTTCTACTAGCATACAAGTTTAGCCTC